GGCCGCCGGACGCCGGACGGCACCGGCCGGCCGACTGACTCGTGAGAAACAAATGTGGAGCGTCGATAACGATACGTTGTTGTAATTGACATACGGCCGCGACTGTGGCGGGTCATTAACATCTGTTTGCACGTCCACCGAATTAACTAACAATATTACCGGCCGCGCCTTATGAACAAACGCGATCTCCGCCAGTACGTCTGCCGGCGAGTTCTCATGCGCCCACGGGCTGCACTACACACACCGCTCTATATGTTACTGCTGTTACAGCTGTCACCAATACACTCTATACTCGTGTTATGTATGAACGACGGCGTAGGTAGGCTCGTATACATTTAAAATGTACAGTTACTACGATATCGACATATTCATGCTGATGTGGACGTTTAACGCGGCCGTGACTCCTATTAACTTACAATAACAATTTTATATGTGAATTTGACGGTTCCATGCTGGCGTACTGCAAACAGAAAGCGACTCACTGCCTCTGTAATACGGCTGTGAATAGATCAAAGCAAGATATAGTATCACGGGGCGACAATTTGTGAAGTTGTCTCGTTTTGTGCGTTATTTATCGCCTCCGAGAATACTGAGGAGGACCGGCGCGGCGGCGGCCGCCTCCAAATAATAATAATGTTTTTATTACTCATCGATTCATGGCTCGCTGCGGTCACACCATCACACCATCACACCACACCATCGGCCCACTTCACCGGCGCCATCTTTCATTTTAACGTACACCTCAAGTTTAACATGTATCTTTTACTTACTTCTACTATTTATATATGTCACATACCTACAATTACAGTCAGAAATACTCAATTCGCATAATTACTCTCACTACTAGAAACTTACCTTTGAACATTTTTTATCCACATCTGACAGCTCTTACCTGGTAACACTTTGAATATCTGTCATTGAACTTTGTGATCTAGTGGTTTATTACCTCGAATTTCACACAAAAAGTCGTAAGTTCAAATTGGACCCACAACAAAGGAATTCTTCGTAAATTTTTTTTACTTCCCTATGAAGGAACGTCAGTAACAAAACCAACATTTAATCCTGACGGTAACAGCTGACCGCATGCCACAACAATTATTACCAATTGTAGACAATATTTTAAGTTCGAGTTCACTTATCAGATCAATCCTGAATTTAAATTAATGCATACAAATCTCCGTTTCTCGCAATTCTTATATGGCGAGTAACTACTGAATAGAGTTAACTGATATCTCAGTTTAATGTTCAGAAGGGACATGGTATATGTAAAACCTAGATTGTGATTTTGTTAATAGGTACGCGCTTGTTGTGAAATTTGCGACTGAACACTAAATGAACGCCAGCGAGCGAACGTATCGGAGCTAACGGACTCCGTGACAGCACTATGCAGGCGGTAGTGGCATGCAGGAGCAGCAGGGCCGGGAGCGGCGCGCTGTAGGTAACCTGTCGATACACTATCGCCGCGCGACGGATGTGTCTCGGGATAACATCTCGCAGCTTCCGCCCATTTATCTGCCACGTCTCAGCAACCGCAATCCGCGGCACTCTCCCCCGCACCGCCCCGGTCACGAGCAGGCGTCCCGTGCAGGAGTGCGCATGTCACTACATCTCGCCCGTCAATTTGCGATCTCACATCTGTCGTGCTACATACAAAACTTCAATACAATCTAACATTTACTTTACAAATGTCTCTGCTCTGTCGCAGTGCCGTACGTTTGTACAAGTCCGGTAGAGACTGTTGCCATCTTGCGTTAGAGGCTATTTTTTATGTTTCAAATGGTAAGTATGGGGCCGTTCAAGTATTACGTCAGGACTATGGGGGGAGGGGGGGGGTTTATTGCTTATATTGAATGACATGGGGGGTGGGGGAGTCTAGATGATGATTACTTCATCGGTAGTTATTTACTTTTTTACTCGCATGGCAACAGTCAGTGGCAGTCTTTGCTAAAAAAAATACATTAATTGAAAAATATTTAAGTAATCATGGGGGGGGGGGTGTCACAGCTTTGCTTACTTTTGCTGAGAAGGGGGTTGGGGGGGGGGGATAATTGTAATAAATCTGCTGACGTAATACTTGAACGGCCCCTAACCTATCAGAGAACAAATGACAATCGCTGCCTAAGAACAATATGCTGAGACGTATCTAGTTATTACACTGTGACGCCTCACCATTAAAACCGGGACAATTTGCTGGCAAATATTATCTGATACGGAACCACACATTTATGGTAAGTGACTCGGTACAAAATTCCTACCTGAAGATGAACATGAAACTCGCTTCAAAATAAACGAGTTATGCACTCAAGCGATTAAAATGATTGTACCTTTGCGTCTGGTTCCACGGTGGTGTAGAGAGCAGGTCGGCAGTGCCCACCATCACATGCTACCAGCACGCTCGCCGTCGAGTGAACTGACGTACTACGGTCTAGTAGATCAATACTGTCGAAAGTTATATCAGCACACATAGGCTAAAGTTCTGTAATTAATTTTCTAATGAGTGTGTTTTTCTTTGAAAAGAGCAATGAACGTGTTGCAAGCAGACAACGTGTGTGTTACACTACTACTAATGTGGTAGGAGTTTGACCATCGTGAAGGATGGAGGCCAAGACGACGAGCAACAGAAAACGGCACCGGTATAGTTGTGGAATATTTGTGTAATAATTGACTTATGTCATATAAAAACTATATAGTGTTTATAAAAAATATAGACTATAAAAAAGATATATAAAATAGTTCCCAACAACCATCGTATGTTAACTTCGTATTATTTTAAATTCAATCATATTACTTACGAGTACTTGAAGTAAATAAATTAGTGACATGATAAGATACCTTTTATTAAATTTTCCGAACGCACCGTGAAAGTGTAACTGTTGCAATTAAAGATATGCAAGAGAGCGGACGACGGTAAGAGATTCAAATTTAATGATATTAATATTGAGGCCACTTAAATTGAACAAATATTTTAAAATGATATAATTAATTTGTTATATATGACAATTTATCATTGTAACTTTAAGTATAACTCCATCTAAGTTCTGAAATGAATACATCAACTACCTGCACCAATATTGTGTTTCAATTATTTAACCAAACTTTAGTATAGCCTTGATCTAATGTTTTACATTCGTAGCTGTAGTAGTAGCTGCTCAGCCAGTGTCATTACATGGTATACTATGTATATTACTAACAGAATTTATTGTCTTGTTTTTAACCAAGCAACTCGGAGTCATTCAGAATCTTGTTCGCCAATTTACCAAGTGGTCTCTGCCCGGTCCCCCGACGCGATGTGGTATTTATGTGAGGCGAGCGGCTCCGTGACGGTCGCGGCCGTCGCCGTCGTCTGCAATGAGTTTACTTAAATGTGACACGTAAGTAGGGTGTGTGTGTCGTCGTATAAGGTAATACACGGCACACGTGACTGATGGTACGAGCGGCGAGCGGGCGGCGGGGCGGGGCGCGGGAGCGGGCCGTGGGAACCGAGTGCGTCACATCCGCCGCCGCCGGTGACGTGCGCCGCACTCACGCACCGTGCCTCATGTTTTGACACGAGGCCGCCACTACTGTACTCAAGACACAGAAATCGAGCAGCACCTTCATGAAGGAGGACTACGGGTCCAAGGAGGTGGTGTATCGGCGCTACCGTGGCAGATTGCCGTCGTCAGTGCCGTGACCATAGAGACAATTTCAATATCTTAATTTAATATTATTAATTCATATGTATGTTGGTCTATAAGGTATTTGTAACATGGACCTAGTAGCCTGAAATAGAAAGAAGAAAGATAGAAAAATATTTTATTCAGTGCAATGTAAAAAATACAAATAAATAAATAAATAAAAATTACCCATGACTCTATAATTAATTGCATATAAATTGACGCATCAGTTAACTAATAGTCGCTTATAAATATGTAAATTTTGATCTGAAGTTGTCTGTTACGATATATATATAGTATCATATTGGTATCATTTAGTGTGCTTTGACACGAGAAATTGTATAAGAGAACCCTCGCTGTAAGTCTCATAAGCAACTTATAGCTCAATTGGAATGTAGAGCACATTGGACGTGAGAATCTTCCATCGTACATAGACTAGAGTAGACGCGATATTCGCTTCAATTAAAAAATACTTACATGAACATACGAAGTATAAGACCATACAGACGGTGTCAGGCGACCGCTCTGATATTAATTAATCATGTCTGTGATGCAATCGGGAGACAAAATGATAGAGTGTAGTGTACAGCGAGCAAAGTTGACAAAACATACTAGTTGTTATATTTATTATTTATAGCGTCCTACTTATCAACGTTTATATCAACGCTTCCGTAAACCAATAAATGTGTAATGCTGGATAATACGTTGTAAATGATTATTTTAATGACAATATTCGATGATTCCTCTCCTTCACTTCATAGTCCGCTATTAAATATATAAATAGATTACAAACCATGTGAGGTCTATGCGATTAGAAGGATGTATTTTTAGGTATAAAGTATCGCACAGAGTCGATATTCCCACGAGGTCCCAGTGTCGGGTCCTCGCGCGAAACTTTGCGAGCGATCTCCCGCCCCCGAAGAGAGCACCGCGCAGAGAGAGTAGAGAGAGCGTACGGGGAGGGGGCGCGGGCCGCTGCACTCGCCGCGGATCGAGAACTGCACGCTGCACGCTGCAATAAAAATAAATCAGCGCTCGCGGGATTAAAAGGTCCGGGGCCCGGGGCCCGGGGCGGGGCGGGGCGGGGCGGGGCGGGGCCGGCGCGCGGCCGCGGGGGCGCCGCCGCCGGCAGTTCCATGTCGGGCAGCGCCACGAGCGCACGCGCCGCCAGTAGCGTGCAACGTGCAGCCAGAGCCGAGTGCAGTGTGCGGTGTGCGGTGTGTGGTGTGAGTGTGGCCGTGGATCGTAGTGCGGTGCCGGGGCCCGGAGCTGTGCGAGGGCCGCCTCCCCGCGGCGGCATGCGGCCGCGCGCGCCGCGCCGCCGCCCCGCGCTGCGCTGACCCCATGCGCCGAGCGCAGCCCGCGCGGCGCCCGCCGCTGCTGCTCGCGCTCGCCCTCGCCTGCCTGCTGCCGGTACTACACCACTATTACACCTACCACATCACCACATCCAATAACACGGGACCTCACGCTCACCAAATGTTCACATGTAGTGAACGACTGCTAAAATTCATTCGATATACGATCAGAAAAAACATCAGATTCGTGTGCGATTTAGTAATATAAAATGTAATGAAAATAAGAATCAAAGTTTTCTCGTCATGACAACAAATACACGTATAACTAGTGTCCAAAAATTGTAGGCATAGAAGTAGATGAATAAATTGTAATAATTAGTTACTAGTGATATAAGAACATAGGAACATAAACGGCAGAACGAGGACGTAACTCAAAGTTTAAGAGCTCCACTCTACCATTTTAGCTCAAAAAATCCAAATAACGAACAACAGAATAAAGAATATAAGTACCTATTTATTCTTTAAGGATTTCAAATAAAAATCCCTAAAAATACAAACGAAATCATATAAAACATTACGTCTACAAACACATTTTGCTACTTTTAGAGTTTCACAGAATTGTGTAGTTGGTGTCGCGTGTCGAATTTAAGTTACAAGTTGTAACTTAATATACTTTCTGTCCGCGTCCCAACAATTACTCGGTACTCGTAACTTGCGAGCGGAGCTGTCTCCTGCCGGGACTGCGGTGGCTGCACACTGTACACACAGTACATGGAACACTCTGGTACGTTCCCGTGCGTACGTGGCCATCATACTAATACACCCGCCTGTACTCGCTGACGTGAACCCCGCGCTCCTAGGCCGGTCCACCGAGTGATCGCTGCCACTAGAGCGGCCGATAAACACGATATAACGGCACTTCACGAATTAACATTAATTCAAATTTATCATTAAAATGTTGCAGATCATCAACAATTTCACGTTAAAATAAATTATTCAAATCAAATCAAATTATCTTTATTCATGTAGGTCTGTGGTCTAATGATCTAAGAACTGGCACTGACAAGAACTTAACTCTTGTTGTTTTCAAAGTGAGCTTGTACATATATATTTTTTTAAATACAATTATAGAGATTGTACCTGTACATTGCATCATTGTGAGAAGGTTTAGTATCAGTCAGCATAACCAGAACAGAATATTATTATTATTATATATTAATAACGAAACTAAAACATATATAACATACAGGAAGTCAGAAATTATTGGATTATGAACTAAAGTTATTTACAAATATCATACACAAGGTTCCAATTGGTAATATGTTTTCCTACTGTTCATCACAAGCGACATGTAAGTTCACAACACGAAAACTGTACGGAAAATAATGCTTTAGTATAAGTTTAAAAAACTTATTCATCTTGCGCATAATCTGAAAATTGACTGTATATGACGTATACTTATATGAGATAAACGGAACGGTAGACATCAATACAAATATTATATGATTATCAAATCACGTGTCATTGTAGACTATCTTTCACTTGTGAAGGGTATAAATATAGAGTTACATTATAGTCACGAGCAGGTCTATTGCTGAGATCTCAGTGGATTCATCGAACTTCATTAGTTACAGTTTCCATTTAAGTCATCATAATTGTATATTAAATATTGACACAGTATCACTATGGACATTTGTTTAAGTTTAATGAAATTACACAAAATACATAACTGATGTTGCTGCAAATATGAGCAGGCAGTAAGTTGTTAAAAATATATAGAATTTGGAAGTAAGTACTTAGTATATATGAAAAACAGTCTCGTGTCGGAAAAAAATAAAAATATCCTAACATTGTTCATGCTAATGGTATTTATTTAAATGATGCTGGGAGTTTGTCTCACGGTCAGATTAAAAAATAATGTTACATTAAGAGCCGTGAGTTTAAGATTTAAGATAATAATGTTAGTTCATCTTTAAAATTATACATAACTATTTAGTGATATGAAAAATATAACATATAACACTATGTAGCAATCAAATCACGACTCACGACACGTCGATACCTGACAGTGACAGTGACAGTGACGCCTGGCTATACAATCTATATTCAATTTAATTTATATATTTGATACAGTTACATTTTTTTTGATAACTAGCTTTTGCCCGCAGCTTTGCTCGCATTATTTTATCCCCTTAGAGGTGGAATTTATCAAAATCCTTTCTTAGGGGATGCCTACGTCATAGTAGTTTTGTGCATGCAAAGTTTCAGCCCGATCGGTTTAAAATTGACAAAGTTTCATACAAACTTTCATCCCCTATTTTAACCCCTTTTGGATAGAATTAATCAAAATCCTTTCTTAGCGGATGCCTGCGTCATAACATCTACCTGCATGCCAAATTTCAGCCCGATCCGTCCAGTGGTTTGTGCTGTGCGTTGATAGATCACTATGTCAGTCACCTTTGAGTTATATATATTTAGATTTATTACACACAGTCAATGTAAGTACGAGTGTACAGACCACGTCCGACCTGCTTATTACTATTATATATTCTCTAGGGCACAAAAATAAAAATAAATATATACTTAGCTTATATTTTATTAAAAAATTATAATATTAATTATTAAGTCACCATCCTGACATCGTAGATTTTATCTCTTACCAGTTTGTCAGAGTACTCGGGTGAATGACCTGTACTTATTATTTAAAACATGAGTAATTGTGAACATTATATTGTTGATATTCACTTCTGCCGGAGTCGCCTGTATCGTACACACAGTCCTCAGTGGCCGGGCCGGGCCGGGCCGGGCCAGTTCTTCATGTTTACTTTACTCACACTATTTAAATCTTGTTTTTACATCGAGTTTTGTCCCCTTTTAATACTGGCTATTAGTAGAAAGCATGATATATTATCATACATATGACATCAAGATATATACATACATTCGACGACCACGATGGGCTAGCGGTTGAGCACACGGCCTTACTTCCAATGGTCGCGGGTTCGATTACTCGCACATCACAAACATTATTAATTATTATTTGTATCGATCTGTGTGTTTTCTATTTATAATGTGTATCTATAGTATTTACTACAATAATATGTCTATATACTTGTATCAGTTATCTAGTACCCATAACACAAGCTTTAGCTGGCTTAACTTGGGTCTAGACGGCGCTGCGTGAATTGTCCTGAGATTATTATTATATTATTGTCACACATAGTATGTGTTATGTACGTATGTGACCATTACCTGCTAGTTGGCGACACTGTTCACTATTTAATAATTTGATTGAAATGATCATAAGAAATATTCGGCCGATTGCAGCGGGCCGTCGCGGCGTCGGCGTCGCGTCGCCGCCGCGTCGTGTGTGGATCGTTGATGTCTTTTGTACGGGAACACGGCGACTGAATGCGCTCGACAATTTCAACATTTTCTTATTACGTTATTGTGCGTGTCATGTGACGTCTCATTAATTTACTTATTGAAACAACAATTCAGTTTTACTATAACGATATAGTATCATAATATCACATGAAAATATATATGTTAAAGGTAAATTTCATTAGCAGATTAGACATTCACAATTTATAAAGAATATAAACATGTTAACCTTTTCCCTTTTTATATTATAATACATACAGTAGATATAACTGTATTAACATTAGATATAGTTTTCAATATATTATTTATTGGTTATATAATACGGAATCAATTAATATAAAAATCAGGCCTAAAACGAAGCCAATAAAGTCTTATATTATTCATCCAATATTCCAATCGGTGGTCTTTAGAACCTTTTGTGAGTGGTGTCGCGTATCTGATGGTCCCAATGAAAATCTGCGTGATATGACTTAGTTCTGCTACTGCGTGTATGTTGACTGCGAGTCTTAACTTGAGATTTTCAGCGTTACTTAACATTGAAGACGTACATTATTACAAAAATTATAGTTGTTATTGTCTAGTATTATTTTTTTATGTTCTTGAAATTATTTTAATAGAATAAAAATAATAGAAATAATCTTTATTCAAATAAACTTAATATAAGCACTTTTGAATAGTCACATTTTTTTATTCTACCACTCATTTGGAACACAGACTCATCACAAGAAGAATGAGCAAGAAACTTGTGTGCTGCTGCCGTGTGTTGCTCTTGTGTATTGTGCTTGTGTCATTTTGTATTATGGTTGAAAGTAATAGTTCACACTGACCAAATAATTTTAGTACATTTACGTAACTGTTTCCTGTATCTTCCTTTAAAAACTTATGCACGATACGACATGTATTTAATATTGCTGTTTTTTATATTACGATTTCGGTACTTATGTATTTCAAAACAAAGTTTATGATATAAATTATGATATTTGGCGTTGGATTCAAGACATGCAGGCTGTGTTGTAGATTCGTTGGTACTACACCTACACTGGACATCACCGGAGGGACGGTGCATGTTGCAAATTCTGATCACTTCTTCTTGAGCTCGGTGTATAATGTTTGTAATTTATGTTTACGTAAATTATAACAGATGCAGCGTATCTATCAAATATGCGAGTATAGAAAATTTATTATTATTATTCGATGTGTAATATGATGTGTAACAATTGTTTCCGCGTTGAGGCAGGTCTCAGGTCTAATGTACGACACGCTATGCACCAAAAAAAAACTCAAAGTTTTGCCTTATTTTTTGCATTTAGGTAATTATAGACTATAAAATAACTAACTCTAACAAAGAAATAAGTTTAAATAAATACTTAACTAGTAAAGATATAATTCTTTAAATAGCTATAAACAAAACTGAACCCACAAGTAATACGTCAATGATAAATGTGGTTATCGTTTGGATTCCCTTTGTTCAGTGCCGCTGTGACCGCACGAGGATCCCACAAACTGTATCACTCGCAGGCATTATTCCATAGTTCCTGGAATGTTTGGATACGCTTTTGTCATTATTTTTTTAATTTTTATACTTCTTACGTACGAAAAAAGTATGGAATAGTATGTTTATCATATAAGGTATATATTTTCCAAGATAACTTGATTATGACGTGAATAATAAATACATAGAAGATAAAGCAAACACGTTTTATATGATGCTGTAGTAAGTATATAAACGAGGACTACTTGAATGTATATATAAACTTACGATAGTATATATACAGTATGTATACAGAATCTGTAACAAAATATGTATATAGTAAATGGTCTTTTTATCCCATCACCGTGGTCAGACTTTGGTCTCACTATATTTATACGATCAATAGGACCAGACTTTTTTTTGTTTGTTAACATCATTACGCTTCATAACTTATAACTTTCGCTTTAACTGCCGGTCAACCGGATGGTATAAAACAAAAACTTTAATGGTTCACGTCAAAATACGTCACTCCTCACTAAGAACAATATCATACTATACATACATACATATTGACGTGTTTACTTATAGACATCATTCTATTCAGATGATTCTTATACACCTATTGAATTGTACCGAAGTGCAGGTTTGTAAGTAATCTATACATATAAATAAAATTGGAGTGTCTGTTTGGAATATGAAATAATCTCGCGGTGACGGTGTCACGTGTCAAGAGACACAAAATTATCTCTTTGTGCGATATAAGCGTAGTAGTGTAGTAGAGTGGGCGGCGCGTGTGGTGGGCGTGCGCGGCGGGGGGCGGGGGGCGGGGGGCGGGCGGCCCGGCCCCTCGCACCGCCCTCGTGGCCACTCACTGCACGCTGCACGCTGCACACTGCAGGCGGAGTGAAACATTCAGTTATTGCTTCATAGATGATATAAATTTCTAATAATTTACTCATTTCCGCAAATTGAAGGTTGCTACCCCGCGCGTCGAACAAAGTCACCCCCGCCAATGACCACTAGACATGTGTAGAAACAATATTACAGTAAAAAAGAAGCACCGTGCGTTTAGTGCAGGTACTACTCGCAGGTAGTTGTTTGTTTAACATGTTGCTTGTTGTCATTATTAAATTATATATTTATTAGCTATGGCTACGGTTTCACCTGCGTGCAATTTATAGCCTGTATGTTATTCTGATGTACGAGCTATATCACTGTAGAGTTTCATCAAAATCCGTTTAGTAGTTTTTATGTGAAAGAGTAACAAACATCCATACTTACAAAATACCGCATTTATTATATTATATATTAAGACTTAAATACTGAAACTGCCTTTATGTGTTTGTAGATCATAGAAAAAATATTATTACTTACTTAATTAGAATTTTTCTATCGCTTCACGCGTCTGTAACAGAATTTCATATTTCTGTTTTAATTTAACCAAATTACGTGAAATGAGTAAGGATATAATCAGTATATTTCAATGTTATCTTTTAAACGATACTTTCTAATAATAACTAAAAAGTTTCGTTCTTCACTTGAACTTATACGAGAACAGAAGTTCTTGGTATTGTATTCTAAAACAGTGAAATAAAATAATAGACTTTTTAAGATACAGTGTTGACATGACTGACTATAGATTATTATATTATTATATATAAAATATTATAAATCGGGTACAAAATAATTTAGTATACTATTAGATATATTATAGTTGTTACTAACTCTACAGTTAGTGGTAACATCTTTTTTGAAAGAAAAAACAGTTGTAGAGAAATGAAACGTACCCCGATAAGAGGGCTAGATGGGCCCGCAGTTAAACGGTTGCCTAACACCCAGGGGTGACAACCCTTGAGAAACATTGTAGCGCGGTGGTATCACCTCTCCATTGTAGCGTTATATATGTATGTGTATGATGTGATGAGGTGTCCCTATACAATATTATCATTGTAGAAGGTATTTATTGTACATTAGTAGTTTATTTGCTAGTGTGCTACATACATGGCTTATTAGTGACGTATACACTGGACACGGAGTCGGCAAGTGGACTAACTTTACACTCAACTTAAATCTTTGTTATCTGGAAAGGTATTACAGGCTGTGATCTCTAGAGATAACCTCGGCAGGTGGTTCGGTCCATAATTTGATGGTGCTCGGGAGGAAACTAAATATACATAACAGAATTTAAAAAAAACGTATTAAGTTTTGTTAATTATACAAAAAAATATCATCAAGTAGTAAAACAGTACATGTCATACAATGTTAAAGATCAATAAATTGTTGTGATAAGTTTTTGTAACAGCATAGGAAATATTTTCTAGAAATGCTGGAATGCTTTCCAATGCAATTGGGAGTTATTTTTTGTGAGAAATTATAGTTTGTTCACAACCATACAACCAACTGTAATATAAGTTGTAATTGGAAACCGGTTAACAAAACCCGAGTTGTCTCATCAACTTAAAATTCAGCGCCAACGATGAGAATCTTATGCTATTAGTCATGACAAGTGTATTAATGATTTATTTAGGAATAAATCGTGTAAATCAAACAAAGTACTATCACTTTTATAGAAGTAGTAATACTTCTATACTTATAAACAATAATTATTCTAAAGAATTAACTAACATAAATAACTGCCTCGAAAGTAATGCAAATACATGGAAGTCATTTAATATTTTTAAGTTAATCTAGCCTCAAATGAGTTAAAACAGCTTACGTATGAGTAATGAAATAGAAATAGAAATAGAAATAGAAATAATCTTTATTCAAATAAACTCATTACAAGCACTTTTGAATAGTCATAGTTTTGATTCTACCACTCATTCGCAATGCAGATTCACCACAAAAAGAATGAGCAAGAAACTTGTGTGTTGCTCTTTTTGAGTGCCTACTAATGAGTACCTACTATTGCCTAGTTTTTACTATATAATAATGGTTATAAAATTTATTGACTTTTATCTAGCCTTCTAAGGTTTTCTCTTCGTTCTGAAATTACAAGTGTTGTATATTAAAATTATGGTTACAATATTTCGTTATTTAAATATTTAATATTCAGCATCTATTATTATTTATAATGCTTTCTTATAAAATGTTACGTAAATTCATTGTCTAATAATTCATTTACGACCTCATTCTAATGTTATAAATACGAAAGTATATCTAAAATGCAGTCCATCTATGAAAAAACATACAGCCGTTTGTTTGTTTATTTGTATATATAATATTTATCTTAATTAAATTTGATGTGAATGTATACACGTATCGTATCACACAACAGATATAGGATATCCCTTACTACAGAGACCTACTGTCTCTGTAGTAAGGGATAGTAGTACCGGATCTGTAGAATAGTAATAATCTATGGCACTACATATAATAATTAAATATAAGACCTGTCCAAAACGACGGACACCAGTCTCATTATAGTATTATATAAATGGCTTACCTAATTATTATTAACAAATAAACTTTATAAAGAGATGACAGTATACAGTACACCTCGATTTATTTAATAATAGCACCTAAGGTTGTTTGAAAGTAAATGTAACCTCCACGCTGCTTGTAAACCTATTTATATCGGTCTGGCAGTGCCCGCGGTTTCGTCCTGGTTAAATTTGAATATATAAATAAAAAAAGTTTATATGTTATACTAATCCATAAGCTATATTACTGTAAAGTTTCATCAAAATTCCTTCAGTACTTTTTGCGTGAAAGAGCAACATTCATACTGACAAACTTTTCCATTTATAATATTACTAGCTTTTACACGCGTCTTCGCTAGCATTGAATCATTATTGGCTGCTAGATGGCGCTGCAAAGAAAAATGTTGATATTTTATTTTTTTGTTTTTTATAAAAAATGTTTTTTTTTAAATATAAAGTATCCTATGTTTATTCTAATACCTCCAAGAACATTTCATCATTTCATGATGATCGGTTCAGTAGTTTTTGCGTGGAAGCGTAACAAACATCCGTACTTTCACATTTATAATATTACTAATAATTAAGATGTAGATAAGATATTTCTAAACTTCAAGTAACTCATGTGCGTGTGTGTGTGTGTGTGTGTGCAGCTCGCGGCGGGGGCGGGCGTGTTCGAGCTGCAGATCCTCGAGTTCTCTAACTACCGGCTGGAGACGGCGTCGGGCGCGTGCTGCGGGGGCGGCGGCGGTGGCGGGGGCGGTGGGGGCGGTGGGGGCGGCGGGGGCGGCGGGGGCGCCCCGTGCGTGCACCCGTGCCGCACGCGCTTCGAGCTGTGCCTCAAGGAGTACCAGTCGGCGGCGGCGCCCGGCGCCTGCTCGTTCGGCCGCGCCTCCTCGCCCGTGCTCGGCACCGACTCCTTCACGCTCGCCGAGCCGCTCTACACGCTCGCGCTGCCATTCTCCTTCCGCTGGACGGTAAGTGCGAGCCAAGAAAGAGTCTCTATGTAACGGACACGGCAAACGAGCTGACCGCCCACCTCACGATAAGTCGCAACCGTCGCCTGTACACTGTACTGTGGCGCCTGGAATACCACGTATGAGTTGCCAGGACCGAGGACTAAGATGTTACTCAATGTCCTCTAATTTCACTGTCTTATCCCACCTGACAGCCAAGATATTACAATATAGCTGCCTAGCGGCTGAAACCACCTGGCCATGTAGACACGTTTTTGCAAAGTCTACGTTAGTTGTCCGCGATCACAACACTACCAACTTCACCGCGCGACATTCATTATCAATGGTTCCCGAGGTATTCAGCACTTATGTTTTAAGAATCAGTATACACAACACATGTTCAGAGATGATTTTTATGTTTGGTAGTCATCTAGCTGTGGTAGTCATAGTACATTAGTCTGTGTGTTGGTACTAATTCGATGGCAATTGTTACAGCGTTCGTTTACATTGATACTGCAGGCGTACGACGACCACGAGTACGCAGACCCCGGTGAGTTCATAACAAAATTCAAATTCAAAAATCAAAATCAAATTCATGTAGGAAGTTTTAGCCGCTTATGAACGTCAAATTTTTTACATTATAATTTTATTTTTATCTCTACAAATGTTATAATGAGATACACATTAGCAGTCTCAACTTGCCCTATTGAGAACTTTTATATGTAGGTACTAGAAAGTTGATACAACAAACTACCACAGTCTGTTCTTATTCTGTCTGAGAAAACATTCAAATGTCGTATAAAATACTTTCGCTATAAGTATGCTTATAAAATTGGAGAGTTTGTAAATGATAATAATGTTTTTGTAGAAAAATCTTAAAATTCATAGCGCTGACAATATTATATGATTGCACTAAGAATGAGTGCGTAGCGTATTACAATGTTGATATCGCATGCCTCTTGTTATTGCATAATTATTTATTATAAAAAAAGTTTATTCAAAAAACAACACACAAGTTTGTTGCTCATATTATTGTTGTGATAAATCTGTGAGTGTGAGTGTGAGTGTGCGTGTGGGCGGCGCAGAGGCGGCTCTGATCGAGGAGGCGTGGTGGTCGGGCATCGTGGAGCCGGGCGCGGAGTGGCACGCGCTGCGGCACGCGGGCGCGGCGGCGGCGGTGGCGTACCGCGTGCGCGTGCAGTGCCAGCCCAACTACTACAACACCACCTGCACCACCTTCTGCCGGCCGCGCGACGACAAGTTCGGACACTACGCCTGCTCCGCCGCCGGCGACAAGCGCTGCCTGCCCGGCTGGCGCGGAGACAACTGCGAGAGACGTGAGCACCCGCCGACACACAACACCAACACCAACACCAACACCAACACCAACACCAACACCAACACCAACACACGCCGACACTTCTCTGACACTTCTCTGGGACTCCAGACAGGAGTAGTAGTAGGATATTGATAACTAAATATCTCATTCAACTTCAATCATTTTTATATTGCCGCCGATTAAGTTTTGTTGTCGTTTCGTTTTAATTCTCAATAAATTTCAAATTCAATTGTCAGTATGTCATATATAACTGTATAAAACAATTTACTATCAAACACATTTAATATTTTGATTTAGATACGAGTAGTTATGCAAACTTAGATTACAATTCTTCTGTTGCAGCTGTATGCAAAGAGGGCTGTCACCCGACTCACGGGCGCTGCGACCGGCCCGGAGACTGCGAGTGAGTTCATAATCATGTTCATTACATTTATAACAATTATACACTGAAGTGGCGACAGACTGCAGGCAAGCCATGACATGTAAAGGCAATTGCAAATGCAAAATATTACAATTTTTCTCCAAAGAAGTATGTATTATAGCTGGTCAGTCGAGTACTGCCTGGTACTCTTCTAGACTTCATAGTGTCTCCTCATCTAAATATGTCACTGCCGCTTTGTATGCTATGTTTGGGTGCCAAATGATATATGCACATTGCTATATCATTAAGTATACTCGTATGGTGATCATTTTTCTTTTTTCATCGGTCGCAGCTGCCGGCCGGGGTGGCGCGGCGAACTGTGCTCCCAGTGTCAGCCGTACCCTGGCTGCAAGCACGGCTACTGCAACGGCTCCTCCTGGGATTGTACTTGCGACACCAACTGGGGAGGCATCCTCTGCGACCAAGGTACGTCCCATTTTTTGCATATTTACTACGAATAAACCTTCAAATGGCGAATCATCTCTAGAATTGGTTTTGGAATAAAAAACAGACATCACAAATTACTCAGGGTGCTTACACTCGGATAATTACATTTATCGACTAACATTTACGAATGGGTGTCGTATCATCGGCGAGCTCTCGGCTATAGCTAATGAATCGGTTCGTTCCGTTCCGTTTCAGACTTAAACTACTGCGGCACGCACGAGCCGTGCCAGCACGGCGGCACGTGCGAGAACACGGCGCCGGACCAGTACCTGTGCACGTGCGCCGAGGGCTTCTCGGGCGTGGACTGCGAGCGCGTGGACAACCCGTGCGCGCCGCAGCCGTGCGCGCACGGCGCGTGCTCGCTGGCGGGCGCGCCGCGCGGCTTCACGTGCGCGTGCGAGCGCGGCTGGGCGGGCGCGCTGTGCGACCGCGACGAGGACGACTGCGCCAGCGCGCCCTGCCGCCACGCCGCCGCCTGCCGCGACCGCCTCGCCGGCTACTCCTGCGAGTGCGCGCCCGGCTGGACCGGCGCCACCTGCGCCGACGGTGAGCCACCCCCCGACCCGCCCTACTCGTGTCGTGCGAGTGTGAGGGTCACCTCCTCACCTCAGCCTACGGTCCCAGTTCTCACGTGGTACCGTTCGCTCCGTCCGTAGACGTGGACGAGTGCGCCGCGAGCGGAGCGACCGAGGGCGCGGCGGGGCCGTGCGTGAACGCGGCCGCGTGCAACAACACCGCGGGCGGGTACGCCTGCACGTGCCTCGCGGGCTGGACCGGCCGCGACTGCGAGACCAACGTGGACGACTGCACGGGCCAGTGCCTCAACGGCGCCACCTGTATAGACCTCGTGGACGACTTCCACTGCGCGTGCGCCGCGGGGTACGCGGGCCGCACGTGCGCGCGCGACATCGACGACTGCGCCTCCCGGCCGTGCCGCAACGGCGGGGAGTGCGTGGACCTGCTCGACGCCTACCGCTGTATCTGCCCCGTCGGCTTCTCGGGCACCGACTGTGAGGTGACTGGTTTTATAAATTATTCTTATTTCATGATAAACATTGAAATGTTATTAACATCTGTATAACCACATGTTCAGGATCGAGACTCACTCGCACTAACCACTACTAACACGACTTCTGCTTTTTAGCTGTCTTCCTGTTTTGGACGCTACTGTCGGGTGAGTGATCTTCCTTGTCGATACTCTATACCTAATAAAATAGTATATCATAACTTCATTTATCGGAAAACTGAACCTAAGGTACAAATTATTTATGACCCCAAATTAGACTACGCCTGCATCGTAGGAGTCAAAACAAGTGAAACTAAATTTGTATCGGTGATCAGAGCTAAAACAATAATACTACTGCGTTATGGGTAGAGAGAAACTGAGAGAATAGTGTCTGAAGTATGCGATTATTTGAATGTTCCAAAACCGTAAATTTTACTCCGGTTTTTAACAGTTTCTTAGTATTCTCATATGTCCAGGACATCAGTAAACTATAGAGCCTTTTTTTACATTCATAACTGGCAATGTTTAATGTAACTCAATTTAGAAATTTGATTGTAAATATGTAGTAAGAAGATTTTTTTGTAACGTTAAGCAAAAGATGTTTTCACTTCTACAATAGGGCCTTATAATTTTAAAGGAGCTTGAAATTTTCAAATATGAATAGAGAGCACTTTGGTGTTTCATCATTGGTGTTTATGCGTATGCAGACTTATTAGACTATATAATGTTATATTTGTGTGGTAAGGACGACCGCGACCACTGCGCGGGCTCGCCGTGCGCCAACGGCGCCGCCTGCTACACCGCGCAGAGCGACTACTACTGCCACTGCGCACCCGGCTGGGCCGGCAAGAACTGCACGCAGCGGGCCGCCAGAGACCGTGAGCACACACTATACATATATATATCTACTCGTTACCTGTCTTATTTTGTATATATCACTAACATAGCCAATAGTCAGACGCGATGTCCAATGGCGAATCTTTAAGCGTTTTCACACCTCTTTATTGGCTTCGGATAGGTATTTATTTATTAGAATGGGATCGTGTTGGGATCTTTTAATAATATAATTGACCGGTACCATGATCGTTCCCCGTGCACCGGACAAGTGTGCAGTGCAGTGTATGTGTGTATGTGTAACGGCCGCGGGTCGTGTGTGCAGGCGCGGAGGAGTGCGCGGCGGCGGGCTGCGCGGGGGGCGGCGGCTGCGCGGACGGGGGCGCGCGCTGCGACAGAGGTCAGTGACACACGCACACACCGCACGAACGCACACACACAAGCACACACACACACACTCACACACCACGAGCACTCTGCGCAAAACCATTCGAATTCAATACCTATTCGTAATACTGTATCCATAGTTTGTTACACCTGCTTGAATCTCACAAAATTTTGTTATAGAATTTTCATTATTCGGAATTACGTTTGAAGTTGATAAGTAAGACTAGACAAAGACGTCTATTTTTTAATTTTCTTTCAGAAAAAAACAAGTGCGCCTCGAATCCATGTCACAACAACGCAACCTGTATCGACGGACCTGGAGACTACGCATGCGCGTGCCGCGACGGCTGGACAGGTGAGCTCATTTTATTTATGTTGTAAACAACCGTTACCTACTGTATAACGACTTACTTTTTCTTTAAATGAGATTACAAAAGATAATATTTTCGATTAAGAATGAAAAAAGTAAAATATGAGTAAAGATATTCTTTTACTACATTTCTAAAATTTCCTAAATTAAATATATTTGCTCTTATTAATTTCCTTAAAAACATCTGAGCGCAGCAATGTGCGGTAATAGCGAATCGAACTGTACCAGTTTTAGTTACATACCTACAAATATTACTGCTTTTCAGGGAAAACATGTGGCGTACATTTGGAGACGAACAATCAATGTATTGAGAAGCCGTGCGCGAACGGGGGCACGTGCGTGCCCGACGGCGAGCGGTGGCGCTGCGCGTGCGCCGCGGGCTGGGCGGGCGCCGCGTGCGAGGAGGCCGCGCCGGCCGCCGCGTGCGCGTGCGGGGCGGGCGGCGCGTGCGTGCCGGCGGCGGGGGCGGGGGCGGGCTGGGCGTGCGCGTGCCGCGAGGGCTGGACGGGCGCGCGCTGCGAGCGCGCCGTGGACGGGTGCGCGTCCGCGCCGTGCCGCAACGGCGGGCGCTGCGTGGGCGGCGCGGGGTGGTGGGCGTGCGAGTGCGCGGCGGGCTGGGCGGGCGCGGCGTGCGAGGCGGCCGCGCCCGCCGCCTGCTCGCCCCCCTGCCCGCCGCCCGCCGCCTGCGCCCCCGACGCCCGCGGCGCGCGCTGCGTGTGCCCGCCGCCGCCGCACCGCGCCTCGCGCCGCTGCCTCGAGCGTGAGTGTCGCGTCATCCTTCCACTGAACGTCGCAAATGATTAGCTCGCTTCGGTGATGTCGTATGGTTGACGCGCGCCTCTGTCCCCGGCAGTGATCGCGGGACTCGGCGTCGACGGGACCGACGACGGCGCCGACGGAGTCGAGGACTGGGGGGACGGCGGGCCGGGGGGCGCCTGCGGCTCCGACAACGGCACGTGGTGGTGGGGCTGCAACGCCTGCCGCTGCTCCGGCGGCGTCCCCGCCTGCACCCGCTTGTGGTGCGGGCTACCCGACTGCCTGGCGCCGAACACCCAACCTTGCCGCACCGATGAGGTAATATTTTATACTACAAGCGATCGTTCCTGACGGCCGGGAAAATTAAACTTAACTTTGACTTTCAACAGTGGGCGTACATAGTACCTACTCACTCGAGCCTTAATTATTTTATTCATAAACGATTTTTTAGCATCTCGTGCTTATTACTATATAAAAAAAGTGACTTTTTTTTATATAGTAATTTCTACCGTCCAGTTCGGCCACTTCAGTTAGTCAATGATGCAGTTATTTTTTTCTTGTTTTTTTTATCTTATTTTTTTTTTTGTTTAATCGCAAAAAAATCACACATTTGGAATACGAGCAGTTTAAATATGTAACGGTCGGGTCTCGTCGCTAGCTCTCTAGTACAGTGTATAACGTGCGCCGACGTGTAGGTGTGCGTGCCCGCGGCTCCGGCGCTGTGTCTGCGCGCGAGCTGTGCGCCGCTCGGAGAGTGCCGGCGCGTGGCGGGCCGCCGCGTGGAGCCCCCCGCGCTGCCCGCGCCCGCCGCCTGCTGGCCGGGAGCGCGCGGGGCTCCCCCGCCCGGCTGCGCGCGCGCACAGCTGCAGCTGGCGCGGGAGAGGCTGGCGCGCGGCGCGCACGTGGAGCGCGCGTGCCTCGCGCTGCGCCGCGCGCTCGCCGCCGCACTCGCCGCCCGCTCACCGCCCACACCACCGCTCGTGCTGCTCTGCGATCTCGCACCGGACGACGACGACGCCCTCGATCTCGCACTGGTACGTCAACCGAGCTCGCGTCCATAATTTTCTCGAATACTGCAAAAATTGGAACGTCTGGTAATCGAGAGTCGGTCATAATACGTTGCAGTGGGTCGGAGACGAAGACAGCTCGGAGAGCGACACCGACACGGAGGCCCTCGGGGCGGCCGTGCGTGCGCTCAGCGAGCTGGTGTCGCGTCGTCGCCTGGCGCAGCACGCGCTGCTGGGCGCGGCGCTGCGGCTGCGCGTGCCGCACGCGGCGCCGCCGGCGAGCTCCTCTCCGCCGCCGGCGGCGCAGGCTCCGGCGCCGGCCACGCTGCTGGCGCTGGGCGCGGCCGCGTCGCTGGCGCTGCTGGCGGCGGTGGCGGGCGCGGCGCTGCTGGTCCGGCGCCGGCGCGTGGCCGCCGCCGCCGAGCGCTCGCGGCGCTGCGACGAGGAGAAGTCCAACAACCTGCAGAACGAGGAGAACCTGCGGCGCTACGCGAACCCGCTGCGCGAGGAGCCGTGCGCGCGCCGGCCGCCGGACGAGCTGCCGCGCGCGCACTCGCTGTACAAGGCGCACAACGCGGACGCGCGCAACGACACGCCGCCGCGCGACAAGGAGCTCACCAAGCGCGCGCTGCCGCCGCCCGCGCCGCCGCCGCCGCGCCTCGCGCCGCCCGAGCGCCTCACCGTGCTCGTGTGACGCCGCCCGCCGCCGCCGCCGCCGCCGCCGTGTGATACTAGTGTAGTGTAGTCCGTTGTAGCCGAGTACTTAGCGCCGGCGCCGCGCCGCCCGACGCCCGCCGCCACCTATTTATTGCGTTAGAGTGATGTCGCGTTATGTAAATATGTATTATTGTAAATAATGTTAAAGAGTGTATTTTTTCTTTTTGTAAGTTTTATTGAGAGGTTAACTGAGGACGCGACTTATATTTTTGTAAAGGTTGTAATGTTAAATAAAATAAAAATGTTCGTTTTAATAAAACGCTGCCGATTTAGTGGTCGTTTCCGTTGCTGTATACACCATGATTAGCCTAATCCTTGTAAAATGTAGTACATTGTGAATCGCCTGAAGCTGAAGTCAAGTGTCGGTAGCAGTGAATAAAGTTTATCAATTATAAATAAATTTTGTGACTACTAATGCCAATAAAAGATAGATAGACTGCGTGAAAGATGCATATCATCTTTAAAGAAGAGTATGCTGAGGTGCGACGGCTGAAAGGAATTAATGGAAGATGACGTACTAAGCCCACCGCAAATAAAACTATATTAAACATGCAGACAACAACATTTATATAGACACATTCTATTACACATTAATGAATTCAAAATAACTTAACAGCTTTACAGGTACATAATCATCTAGCGGGCCCTAAACTGAGACAACTTATATTTATAATTATTTAATTATTTCGTTAAACATGTAACACTTTTACTCAAACTTGAACATGATACGGTATTAGATATGAAGCCCTAAACATGATAGTATTTAAATAATAAAAAGCAAGTTGCTGAAATATTTGGTATAAAGTCTAAAGGAACTAGTGTTAAAATAGGTGTTCTTCAGGGCTCTATTCTAGGTCCTGTTTTTTTAGAAAAGATAGTGAATCAACTTATTAATTATATGGACGAGGCAAATAGTGCTCTCTCTTCTGTTTTAAAATGGTCTACTGCTAATAAATATACCATTAGATGCAAATAAAACTAAATGTTTTAAATTTACAGTCCCCAATGTAAACCTATAAATTTTGTTGACAATACTGTATTTCTAGGTATCACATTAGATTCCAAGTTACAATGGGGTGTCCATATTTCAAAATTTGCGAGTCAAGTTCTGCCGCTTATGCGGTAAGAAGAATTAGACAATTAACATATGTGGTAACGGCTAAATTTGTCTACTTTAGCTATTTGCATTATAGCATTATGTCGTATTCCACTATTTAAATCAGGAGATAAATTGGAGCTAGGGAACTAAGACCGATACCTATTTGGCCAATTCTAAGTAAGGTATTTGAAAAGAGAATGTTAAATCAAATGTTACAACACTTCAGGGATAACGGACTGCTTCACAGCAATATGGTTTCACCGCTACCAGATCTACTACTGATGCATGTGTAGCGCTAATAACACATATTTGAATCATGGGAGAAGTCACAAGATGCACTCCAATTTTTTTATTACAGGAACATTATGGCATAAGAGATAATGAGCTAAAATTTAATCAAAATAATGAAAGTTTATCTAGAGGATAGGGTCCAAACTGTAGATATTGACCGTATAAAATCTAGGATTAAAATTAATGATTGAAATGATTAAATTCGTATAGTATATAGTATCGTATGTATAATCGTACAAATTGGACGTCAAAGTAATCAATTAGATGATGTAAATTGTGCTATCTCAGCTATATTATTATTATTGGAGAAAAATATTATTAAAGAAAACAACACGTATTGGTAGACATTAGTAAATATAGTAAAGTGACGATCAATGTAAAAATATTATAAACCAGTGAGGTTCCATGCTACCACAGTTATTCCTAATGATGATTTTTTTTTTTTTAGTAGTTATGACGTGAATTGCGTAGACATGCTCACTAAAATGTCCAGACATATGGCGGCATTATGGGGCGAGTCATTAGGCTCCCTAAAATATGGTCGAGCGCATTGATGGCTGGCTCGTCGTATTCGCACGTTTCAAATGTAAACTCAAAGATTATTTTAAATTACTGGAGTTGAGATGATGCTGCCGTCCCTATCAAACCAGCTCTGTGTATATAAATTAATTAAAAATCATAAATCTCTATGTTCAATAAATGTATCAAAAATTTAAGAAAGTTACCTATGATTGTGTTGTGACAGTTCTACCAAAAGGATTATAATATATCTGCGACCAAAACAATACAGATAAGTCGAACTTTCCTTATCAACTAAAAACAACTGGAACTTCATGCTTAATACAGCAAATTTTCATATAACATTGTATAATAAACAAAATAATTTCAAAGTAATCAAATCTGTCTAAATACTGATATTCTTCTGATATTCTATTATAACGTATTTTGCCGGAACCTTTGAAATTTAAATTTACATGTATACTGCCATCTATGAGCGAATAGTGAGATTACAACAGTGACAACTATATCAACCCAAGAATTAGACACTAGATCATTGAAGAATCACTAAACATTACACCAAAATCTACTAGAGGGCGCTGATTAATAGAAATTACTGGCCTCTGTCGTGACTAAATTGGTATGTTTTTTTTTTTTGTCCTTATTTGCAAAATGTCACTAAAGTGCGACAAATGCAGTATGGAGGTGAATAAAAGTTATATAATATGCGCCGACTGTGGGAAATTCTTTCCCTTGGAATGCACAAGTGTTAGAGAAAAAATGTTATTATCTTATGTCATCGGAAATTAAGAAAAAATGTACATTAATTTTGCTATTTGCTCTGTCTCCAGACAGTTCTTTTGAAGACTTAGAAGTGGACGAATTTTTTTTTTTTTAAAGTATACATGAAAATGACGAATATCTAACTTTTAGAAATAAAAAGGAACCTTCATCTTTACCTGATTTAACGACATCAACAATAAGCGACCTGCACTCAATAAATGAAAAAAAAACGTCATATAGTTTGAGAGACGATACCACTACCGAAAGAGAAATTGCGCTTTATGGAGTTGAAGGAAGAAATCACGAGATTACAAACAGAATTACAGATTGCGAATAATTAAATAGATAATTTAAAAATTATCATTATTATTTATATATTATAATTATAATAAAAAAAATATATACATATACACGAAAAGTATGGCTAAAGAAACGGAAATTATAATAAACTCTTCTGAAGACACTTAATAAGATGACTACGGAAACTCAAGAATTGAGGACAACTTCGCTATGCACCACTGAAAACAAAAACTAAAATAATAAGAAAAATTATTCTCTCAATATTTGAGACATCAGCAAAATAAAAATAAATAGATGAACAAGGAAGTTTTTTTTTTTTTTTTTTCGTGAACGAACGCGATGTGTAGATTGGCGAGGCGTATCTATGAGCTATGGAACGTTAGCTAGTGAAGTTTGTTTCAGTTTTGTTCAGTGTCAATTTACCGAAATACTCCATAATCCGAATTTTGCGGATATATGTTGTCGACTCGAAATCTATATATTTATATATATAAGACATATCTAGTATAAGACAATGTAAATATCTGTACAGCATACTAACATCATATTATGTTTACCGACATTTAAATATTCTTACGATGCTAATATTTATAATGGAAGAATTGAAATGTTCAATCATGTCCTTTATCGTGACAATTTAATTTACAAATACTGTTACATATTAGTAACTTAATTAAATTAATTTTGTTTTGTACAAAAACAAAAACACGGGAAACATGCATAGACTATACATTGTAATTTATAGTAATATCTATATTAGAACTATTACTAACAAATGAACTAATCTACAACCGTATTAATTAGTTCCACTATTGCACAACAGATGGCAAGTAAGGTAAATGTACACGTCGATATAGTTTCGTTTTGGACAATCAATATCCTCAATGGAGCAATTGGAAATACCTACGGTTTAGGTTTAGGTTTAGGTTTAGGTTTAGGTTTAGGTTTAGGTTTAGGTTTAGGTTTAGGTTTAGGTTTAGGTTTAGGTTTAGGTTTAGGTTTAGGTTTAGGTTTAGGTTTAGGTTTAGGTTTAGGTTTAGGTTTAGGTTTAGGTTTAGGTTTAGGTTTAGGTTTAGGTTTAGGTTTAGGTTTAGGTTTAGGTTTAGGTTTAGGTTTAGGTTTAGGTTTAGGTTTAGGTTTAGGTTTAGGTTTAGGTTTAGGTTTAGGTTTAGGTTTAGGTTTAGGTTTAGGTTTAGGTTTAGGTTTAGGTTTAGGTTTAGGTTTAGGTTTAGGTTTAGGTTTAGGTTTAGGTTTAGGTTTAGGTTTAGGTTTAGGTTTAGGTTTAGGTTTAGGTTTAGGTTTAGGTTTAGGTTTAGGTTTAGGTTTAGGTTTAGGTTTAGGTTTAGGTTTAGGTTTAGGTTTAGGTTTAGGTTTAGGTTTAGGTTTAGGTTTAGGTTTAGGTTTAGGTTTAGGTTTAGGTTTAGGTTTAGGTTTAGGTTTAGGTTTAGGTTTAGGTTTAGGTTTAGGTTTAGGTTTAGGTTTAGGTTTAGGTTTAGGTTTAGGTTTAGGTTTAGGTTTAGGTTTAGGTTTAGGTTTAGGTTTAGGTTTAGGTTTAGGTTTAGGTTTAGGTTTAGGTTTAGGTTTAGGTTTAGGTTTAGGTTTAGGTTTAGGTTTAGGTTTAGGTTTAGGTTTAGGTTTAGGTTTAGGTTTAGGTTTAGGTTTAGGTTTAGGTTTAGGTTTAGGTTTAGGTTTAGGTTTAGGTTTAGGTTTAGGTTTAGGTTTAGGTTTAGGTTTAGGTTTAGGTTTAGGTTTAGGTTAGGTTAGTTTAGGTTTAGGTTTAGGTTTAGGTTTAGGTTTAGGTTTAGGTTTAGGTTTAGGTTTAGGTTTAGGTTTAGGTTTAGGTTTAGGTTTAGGTTTAGGTTTAGGTTTAGGTTTAGGTTTAGGTTTAGGTTTAGGTTTAGGTTTAGGTTTAGGTTTAGGTTTAGGTTTAGGTTTAGGTTTAGGTTTAGGTTTAGGTTTAGGTTTAGGTTTAGGTTTAGGTTTAGGTTTAGGTTTAGGTTTAGGTTTAGGTTTAGGTTTAGGTTTAGGTTTAGGTTTAGGTTTAGGTTTAGGTTTAGGTTTAGGTTTAGGTTTAGGTTTAGGTTTAGGTTTAGGTTTAGGTTTAGGTTTAGGTTTAGGTTTAGGTTTAGGTTTAGGTTTAGGTTTAGGTTTAGGTTTAGGTTTAGGTTTAGGTTTAGGTTTAGGTTTAGGTTTAGGTTTAGGTTTAGGTTTAGGTTTAGGTTTAGGTTTAGGTTTAGGTTTAGGTTTAGGTTTAGGTTTAGGTTTAGGTTTAGGTTTAGGTTTAGGTTTAGGTTTAGGTTTAGGTTTAGGTTTAGGTTTAGGTTTAGGTTTAGGTTTAGGTTTAGGTTTAGGTTTAGGTTTAGGTTTAGGTTTAGGTTTAGGTTTAGGTTTAGGTTTAGGTTTAGGTTTAGGTTTAGGTTTAGGTTTAGGTTTAGGTTTAGGTTTAGGTTTAGGTTTAGGTTTAGGTTTAGGTTTAGGTTTAGGTTTAGGTTTAGGTTTAGGTTTAGGTTTAGGTTTAGGTTTAGGTTTAGGTTTAGGTTTAGGTTTAGGTTTAGGTTTAGGTTTAGGTTTAGGTTTAGGTTTAGGTTTAGGTTTAGGTTTAGGTTTAGGTTTAGGTTTAGGTTTAGGTTTAGGTTTAGGTTTAGGTTTAGGTTTAGGTTTAGGTTTAGGTTTAGGTTTAGGTTTAGGTTTAGGTTTAGGTTTAGGTTTAGGTTTAGGTTTAGGTTTAGGTTTAGGTTTAGGTTTAGGTTTAGGTTTAGGTTTAGGTTTAGGTTTAGGTTTAGGTTTAGGTTTAGGTTTAGGTTTAGGTTTAGGTTTAGGTTTAGGTTTAGGTTTAGGTTTAGGTTTAGGTTTAGGTTTAGGTTTAGGTTTAGGTTTAGGTTTAGGTTTAGGTTTAGGTTTAGGTTTAGGTTTAGGTTTAGGTTTAGGTTTAGGTTTAGGTTTAGGTTTAGGTTTAGGTTTAGGTTTAGGTTTAGGTTTAGGTTTAGGTTTAGGTTTAGGTTTAGGTTTAGGTTTAGGTTTAGGTTTAGGTTTAGGTTTAGGTTTAGGTTTAGGTTTAGGTTTAGGTTTAGGTTTAGGTTTAGGTTTAGGTTTAGGTTTAGGTTTAGGTTTAGGTTTAGGTTTAGGTTTAGGTTTAGGTTTAGGTTTAGGTTTAGGTTTTTAGGTTTAGGTTTAGGTTTAGGTTTAGGTTTAGGTTTAGGTTTAGGTTTAGGTTTAGGTTTAGGTTTAGGTTTAGGTTTAGGTTTAGGTTTAGGTTTAGGTTTAGGTTTAGGTTTAGGTTTAGGTTTAGGTTTAGGTTTAGGTTTAGGTTTAGGTTTAGGTTTAGGTTTAGGTTTAGGTTTAGGTTTAGGTTTAGGTTTAGGTTTAGGTTTAGGTTTAGGTTTAGGTTTAGGTTTAGGTTTAGGTTTAGGTTTAGGTTTAGGTTTAGGTTTAGGTTTAGGTTTAGGTTTAGGTTTAGGTTTAGGTTTAGGTTTAGGTTTAGGTTTAGGTTTAGGTTTAGGTTTAGGTTTAGGTTTAGGTTTAGGTTTAGGTTTAGGTTTAGGTTTAGGTTTAGGTTTAGGTTTAGGTTTAGGTTTAGGTTTAGGTTTAGGTTTAGGTTTAGGTTTAGGTTTAGGTTTAGGTTTAGGTTTAGGTTTAGGTTTAGGTTTAGGTTTAGGTTTTTAGGTTTAGGTTTAGGTTTAGGTTTAGGTTTAGGTTTAGGTTTAGGTTTAGGTTTAGGTTTAGGTTTAGGTTTAGGTTTAGGTTTAGGTTTAGGTTTAGGTTTAGGTTTAGGTTTAGGTTTAGGTTTAGGTTTAGGTTTAGGTTTAGGTTTAGGTTTAGGTTTAGGTTTAGGTTTAGGTTTAGGTTTAGGTTTAGGTTTAGGTTTAGGTTTAGGTTTAGGTTTAGGTTTAGGTTTAGGTTTAGGTTTAGGTTTAGGTTTAGGTTTAGGTTTAGGTTTAGGTTTAGGTTTAGGTTTAGGTTTAGGTTTAGGTTTAGGTTTAGGTTTAGGTTTAGGTTTAGGTTTAGGTTTAGGTTTAGGTTTAGGTTTAGGTTTAGGTTTAGGTTTAGGTTTAGGTTTAGGTTTAGGTTTAGGTTTAGGTTTAGGTTTAGGTTTAGGTTTAGGTTTAGGTTTAGGTTTAGGTTTTTAGGTTTAGGTTTAGGTTTAGGTTTAGGTTTAGGTTTAGGTTTAGGTTTAGGTTTAGGTTTAGGTTTAGGTTTAGGTTTAGGTTTAGGTTTAGGTTTAGGTTTAGGTTTAGGTTTAGGTTTAGGTTTAGGTTTAGGTTTAGGTTTAGGTTTAGGTTTAGGTTTAGGTTTAGGTTTAGGTTAGGTTTAGGTTAGGTTAGGGTTAGGTTAGGTTAGGTTAGGTTAGGTTAGGTTAGGTTAGGTTAGGTTAGGTTAGGTTGGGGCGTGTGGTCGGGCAACCTCCTAGTATGGGCCTGCCATTGGGAGGCTTCCCCATCCTCGTGGATACGTCCGCGGGGAACGGTGGCCGAGCACTGGCCAGTAGCCCGGCGGGTTGGGCGTGTTCGCGGTTCCCATGCCTCGACAAAGTCGAGGCTGCCGGAGCCGGCGAACCCCCCCAACTTTTCTTCGTTTTTATTTTTGGTTCGTTTCTTCTTTTGTTTTCGGTTTGTTTCGTCTTCTTTTTGTTTTATTTCAATTATTTTGGTGTTTATTTGTTTTGGTTATTCTCTGTCTGTTTCTATCTTTTGTCTTTCTGTCTTTTGGTTTATTTTTCTCTTTCCTTTTCGTCGTCGTTGGCGGGAGTTCGGGACCACACCCGTAAAAAGGATAGCAATGAAAATGTCTGATCGCAAAAAGGAATTACCCCAGGGAGGTACCGGTCGTTCAGCGACCGGAGAATCCTCCTCCACCGCACCGGATTTGCCGGGGGTGGGCTGTCCCACGTCTTCGGGGGGGGACACGACCAGCATTCAAGAGCAGTATAGGGAGATGATGACGAGACGTGTTGAGGCCTACGAAGAACTAGAGGCGCTCAAGGCGATAGAGATGGAGGCACAACTGGACTCCGAGCGGACTGGATCCTCGCTGTCTATAAGGTCCGAAGACAGCCTTGGGCTGGCGAGAGGGAGTACCTCGCCGCCCAAGAAACACAGGAAAAGGCGAATTGTGGAGAAGCGTCGGGAGCTAGACTCCGACGATGACGACGAGGTCGACCTGGTCGAGGTTTCCTCGGCTGGGTCTAGAACTGGTCGAGTCAGAGGAGGAATGCGAACGGCCACACCCGGATCGCGTATGGAGACAGAGGTTTCAGCATCCGAAGCCGAAGCCGAGTCCTCCGGGTCTGGGGCTCTTGCAGCCATAAGAGCGACCGAGGATGACCACATGCTGGGTTCCGACGAGCTTGGGACCAAAGTTGGGAATAGTGCCCGTCAGGTACTCGAAGCAGTGAAGAAATCGAGGAACCTGAAGGGCACTATTGTCAGGGAGATAAAGAGCGCAGTCTATGCGATCTGTTCGGCGGCGGACGTTCTAAAGGCAAGATCGGGCCCCAACTCCGAAGAGGACTCCCTCAGGAGAGAGGTCCAAAAACTGCGCGCAGAGCTCCACACCGTACAGGAGATGAAGAGGGCCATGTTAAAAGAGGCCGTGGAGGAGCGGAAGAAATTCCGGGAGCTACGCATGGCGTCGCAATCTTCTGCCGCGCTGGCTGATGAGCTGGCAGCCCTAAAGGCAGAGAGAGAGGGGTGGGAACGGCAAACGCGGGAGAGCGTTCAGAAGCTGGAGGAGTTGAAGCAACTGAACGCTCTAGACCGACGCGCCCTTCAGAAGGCCTTGCAGGAGGTGGAGAGGCTGAAGACTGCGGCTGAGCTCCCTGCAGTCGTAGTTGGCGGAACGGCGGCGGCTGCGCCGGGAGGTACCCCGCCCCGGGTCCTAAGAGAGGATGCCGAAGACCGGATTATCCGGCGAGTAGGCGAAATGATGGAGAGCCGCTTCGCCGAGATGGAAGAGCGGATCTCGGCGAAGGGGAGACGGCCTCCAAAGGTCAAAAGTGTGCCTACTGCCGGATCATCCGGTCCAGGGACTAACAGGGCCCCGCAACGGGAGCCCAGTGGCGGACGCGCCCCACAGCCGTCAACCTCGGCAACAAATGCGGAGGGCTGGTCGACGGTTGTGCGACGCGGGAAGCGGAAAGGCGCTGGCGCAAGCCAGGCAGCTCCCGCCAAAACGCAGCCTGCGAAGGGGCCACGCGGCGGCCAAACCGCAGAGGAACCGCAGAGGTCCAAGAAGAGGAGGAAGGTGAAAGCACGCCCCCCTCGGTCATCGGCAGTGGTCCTGACCATGACGCCGGGAGCCGAGGCGAGGGGCGTCACCTACAGGTCGGTGCTCACCGAGGCGAAGGCCAAAATATCTTTGGTCCCGCTCGGTATCACCGACCTGAGGTTCAGAGTCGGAAGGACCGGGGCCCGTATCTTAGAGATTCCCGGCACCAACACAGGCGAGGCAGCGGACGCATTGGCTGCCAAAATTGAGGAGGTCCTGCACGAGGACGTCCGGGTCACGAGACCAGTCAAGTCGGCTGAGCTCCGGATCGTTGACCTGGACGACTCGGTGTCGGTAGCCGATGTAGTGGTCGCAGTCATACGCGAAGGGGAGTGCCGGGAATCCGCGGTGAAAACCGGGGAGATCCGACGCAACGCGCAGGGTACGGGCTCCATCTGGGTGCGGTGTCCGGTGGTCGCCGCGAAGAAGTTGGTCGAGGCCGGCCGACTGAGGATAGGGTGGATGGTGGCGCGGGTGCAGTCCTTGGACCCGAGGCCGCAGCGGTGCTATCGCTGCTTGCTCACAGGGCATGTGGGCCTGCGATGCACCGCCGAGCAAGATAGCAGCGGAATATGTTTCCGCTGCAGCGAGCCCGGCCACAAGGCCGCACGGTGCGCCGCGCCATCACCGAACTGTCGGTACTGTGCCGCGGCGGGTCGCAAGTCCGACCATAGAGTGGGCGTCACGAAGCAGTGTCGCCCGCCTAAGGCCCGCGCCGCGGCGCAGGCCACAGGGGGGGGGGGGGAGTCGATGGACACCTGAGTAAAATCAGGTGGGCATCGACTCCATATTTGACCCTAGGGTGGAGGATTGTTAGGGCAATCCGAAGCTCACCGGGGAGGCATTAGGGTCTGGAGGTGGCGTGCAGAGACTGTTCCCTGCACGCCTAGATGGAAAGGTCCCTTCGATGGGAACCATGCCGGTGGTCTTGGTGAATGCTTTGCGTATCCCATGGCCACGGCGATTATGTCGAGGAGGAACAGTCGTCAGGTTTTTAGCAGGTAGGAGTCCGGCAGTATCCATTCTTCCCTAAGGGAATGGTTCTCCATGATGGATTTTCCTGACGGAAAAAAAAAAAAAAAAAAAAAAAAAAAAAAAGGTTAGGTTAGGTTAGGTTAGGTTTTAGGTTAGGTTAGGTTAGGTTTTGGGGCCTACCTCCCCACCGCTGTTTACAACAGGGTGGGCCGTCGTCTAGCTAGGGTCTTATGCTAGGGGGTACAGCCAAGGAACACACTTAAGCCCGGATGTGAAATTCCAGGTTTTTTACATTGTTTTTTATTGGACACATAACTTTCTTATTTGCTACACTTAAACCTAGAGAGAACTTAATTAGGGATTTACATTACTAAAGGGTATCTATTTTATTTTTGTTTACATACTATTGTTTTTAACCTATTTATGTTTCTTACATATCTAATACATTCTTACTACTACTATTATTCTTTTTATTACTTATATCTATTGCTTATCTATGACTGTATATCCACTATACACCTAGATACAGCTTTACTTATCACTGTTTATATTTATTACCTTGGTTATCACTTCTGTAGCGTACTTTAAAAATTTTTCTCTATTTTCTTTTTTCTTTATAATTTCCTTGAAATTTTCTGACTTTATTTCCGTTTCTATTTCTATTTCTAGATCCATTCTTTTCCTTCCAAAGCGAGGGCATTGTGATATAATGTGTAATAGTGTTTCGGGTGTGTGCTGGTCACATGGGCACGACGGATTCTCGCGGCACCGAAATCGGTGCAAATTAGGAATCCGCCGTGTCCCGTGAACAGCTGGGTGATGTATTTGTCTGCGGTGATTTTGCCGACGACCCTGTACGCATCGGCCGCGCTCGGGAAGAAGAGTTTCGTTACGGAAGCAGTCTCGCCAGACTGGTACCGCCTATCCCATTCGGCAATCGTCCGATCCCGGATCAGACGTTTGGCGAATGAGAGGACACCAGTCGTAGTCTGACCTCCTCTTCGACTTCAGGGCCGCTTCCTTGGCGAGATGGTCCGCCCTCTCGTTTCCTTCCCACCCCGCATGTGCCTTTATCCAGTAGATCTTTATTGTTTTTCCTTTTTGCTTACACTTTGTGTGCTGTGTTCTAAATTCTTCCGCTAAGGGGTGGGAGGCTTTAGGATTTGCAACTGTTTGCAATGCGGCTCTGGAGTCGCTGAGGATGCCGATCGTGGTGGCAGGATGTTCCGATGCTATCCCAACCGCCCTGCTCAGAGCCAGGAGTTCCGCCTGGTAGACGGGTTAGGTTAGGTTAGGTTAGGTTAGGTTAGGTTGGGGCGTGGGTCGGGCAACCTCCTAGTATGGGCCTGCCATTGGGAGGCTTCCCCATCCTCGTGGATACGTCCGCGGGGAACGGTGGCCGAGCAATGGTTTGGTTCTGGTACGCCCCGGGCGGGATAGTAGTTGTTCCTTCGGGATACGGCTACTATGTCGGCCAGTAGCCCGGCAGGTTGGGCGGGTTTAGGATTCCTATGCCTCGACAAAAGTCGAGGATCCCGGAGTCAGGAACCCGCCCAACTTCTTGTTTTAGTCTTCTTTTTGTTTGTTTCTTCTTCTTTGTTTTGTTTCGGTTTTTACTTCTTTTTGTTGTTTTAATTTATTTTGGGTTTTAGTTTGTCTTTGGTTTTTATCTGTCTTTGTCTGTCTTTTTGTCTTTCTGTCTTTTGGTTTTGTTTTTCTATTTCGGTTTCGTCGTCGGCGGGAGTTCGGGACCACACCCGTAAAAAGGAATATCATGGTAATGGCTGAACGTAAAAAGAAAGTACCCCAGGGAGGTACCGGTCGCTCCGCGGCCGGAGAATCCTCCTCCACCGCACCAGATCTGCTGGGGGTGGACTGTCCCGCGTCTTCTGGGGGGGACACGCTCAGTCGCAGGAGGGAGTGGGAAGAGCAGGTGAAGGCGATATGTCAGACCGTGGCGGACATATCGGACTACGAGGTTCACGTGGCCAACATGGACTCCGAGTTTACGGGGTCCTCGTTGTCACTGGGATCGGAGGAGCAGTGCTTGAGGGTGAGCACCTCACCCAAAAGGTACCGCAGAAAGAGCGCGTCGTCGAGAGGCCGCAAGATCTGGACTCCGACGACGACGTCGATCTGGTGGAGGTGTCCACTAGGACAGAACGGGCCATGAGCCCGTCACAGAGAGGGAAAGGGGCGAGAACCGCCCGAATGGAGACAGAGGGCTCGGCGTCTGACGCCGGCCCCTCCAGATCCGTCTCCGTTCCGGCGACTGCCGCCCGTGGAACATTCGGCGGAGAGGTGCGGTATGCCGAGGACATGGGCGCCGAAGAGCTAGGCGCATCGATTGAGGAGAGTGCCCTTCAGGTTCTTTCCGCAGTGAGGGTGTCCGGTAACCTGAAGGGCACTATCGTCAAGGCGATAAAGGACTCCATCGCCAGTATTCGGTCGGCGTCGGAGGTCCTAAAGGGAAGGACGGTCGATTCCGAAGTCGCGACTCTCAGTAGGGAGAATGAGCGGCTGAGGAACGACCTTGCGCACGCGAAGGAGATGTCCGCGGGAGCACTGGACGAGGCGTTGGCCGACAAGAAGGAGATCCTTGCCCTTCGCAAAGCGGCACGCTCCTCCACCAACCTGGCCGAGGAGGTAGCTCAGCTCAAAGCTGAGAATGAGGTCCTGAAGCGGGAGGCGCAGGAGAGCAGGCGGCTTCTAGAGGAGCTAAAGAAGGCCAATGCTCTCGATCGTGCCACCCTGCGGAAGGTCCAGGTTGAGCTGGAGGAGGCGAGGAACGCCATTGAGCTCCCCGCCGTGACCATCACGGGAACGACAGTGGAAGCCCCGGAAGGTGCCGCACCCCGGACCCTATCGGAAGACGCCGAAGACCGGATGATCCGGCGAGTAGGCGAGATGATGAACGCCCGCTTCGCCGAGATGGAGGAGAGGATCTCGGCGAAGCGTCAGCGGCCACCAAAGGCCGCCAAGAGTGCGCCTGCTCCCGGATCGTCCGGGCCGGCGACCGATAGGGTCCCACAGACTGGGAAGCCCAGCGGGGGAGGAGACCCGCAGCCGTCGACCTCAGCCAACCAGGAGGGATGGTCGACGGTGGTACGGCGCGGGAAGCGCAAGGGCGCTGGCGCAAGCCGGACGGCTCCCGCCAATGCGCGTCCACCGAAGGGGCCACGCGGCGGCCAAACAGAGGCACCCCCGCAGCGGAAGGCATCCGCGCGGAAGGTTAAAGCACGCCCCCCTCGCTCATCGGCAGTGGTGTTAACCATGAGGCCGGGAGCCGAGGAGAGGGGCGTCACCTACAGGTCGGTGCTCACCGAAGCGAAGGCCAAGATTTCCTTGGCCCAGCTCGGTATCACCGACCTGAGGTTCAAAGTAGGGAGAACCGGGTCCCGTATCCTGGAGATCCCCGGAACGCACACAGGCGAGGCGGCAGACGCGTTGGCCGCCAAAATCGAGGAGGTCCTGCCCGAGGACACCGTCCGGGTCTCCAGGCCAGTGAAGTCGGCCGAACTGCGCATTGGAGATCTGGACGACTCGGTAATGGTGGCCGACGTGGTCGTAGCCGTGATGCGTGAGGGGGGTTGCCTGGAATCCTCGGTGAAAACCGGGGAGATCCGGCGCAACACCCAGGGAACGGGATCCGTGTGGGTGCGGTGCCCTGTGGCCGCCGCAAAGAAGTTGGCCGAGGCCGGCCGGCTTAAGATAGGGTGGGTGATGGCGCGGGTGCAGTCGCTGGACCCGCGTCCCCAGCGGTGCTATCGCTGCCTCCTTACGGGACACGTGGGAGTGCGATGCACCGCTACGGAGGACAGCAGCGGAATTTGTTTCCGCTGCAGCGAGCCCGGCCATAAGGCCGCGCGCTGCGCCGCGCCATCGCCGAAGTGTCGGTATTGTGCCGCGGCGGGTCGGAAATCCGACCATAGAGTGGGCGTCACAAATTTGTGTCGCCCGCCTAAGGCCCGAGCCGCGGCACGGGCCACACGCGGGGGGGGGGAGTCGATGGACACTTGAGTAAAATCAGGTGTGCATCGACTCCAAAACTGACCCTAGGGTGGAGGATTGTTAGGGCAATCCGAAGCTCACCGGGGAGGCATTAGGGTCTGGAGGTGGCGTGCAGAGACTGTTCCCTGCACGCCTAGATGGAGGTCCCTTCGATGGGAACCATGCCGGTGGTCTTGGTGAATGCTTATGCGTATCCCATGGCCACGGCGATTATGTCGAGGAGGAACAGTCGTCAGGTTTTTAGCAGGTAGGAGTCCGGCAGTATCCATTCTTCCCTAAGGGAATGGTTCTCCATGATGGATTTTCCTGACGTGAAAAAAAAAAAAAAAAAAAAAAAAAAAAAAAAAAAAAAAAAAAAAAAAAAGGTTAGGTTAGGTTAGGTTAGGTTAGGTTAGGTTAGGTTAGGTTAGGTTAGGTTAGGTTAGGTTAGGTTGGGGCGTGGGTCGGGCAACCTCCTAGTATGGGCCTGCCATTGGGAGGCTTCCCCATCCTCGTGGATACGTCCGCGGGGAACGGTGGCCGAGCAATGGTTTGGTTCTGGTACGCCCCGGGCGGGATAGTAGTCGTTCCTTCGGGATACGGCTACTATGTCGGCCAGTAGCCCGGCAGGTTGGGCGTGTTCGCGGTTCCCATGCCTCGACAAAGTCGAGGCTGCCGGAGCCGGCGAACCCCCCCAACTTTCTCTTCGTTTTTATTTTTGGTTCGTTTCTTCTTCTGTTTTTGGTTTGTTTTGTCTTCTTTTTATTTGTTTTAATTTATTTGGCTTTTTTTTTTTATTTGTCTTGGTTATTTATCTGTCTTTTTCTGTCTTTTGTCTTTTCTGTCTGTTTGGTTATTTTCTTTTTCTTCTTCGTCGTTGGTGGCAGGAGGTCGGGACCACACCCGTAAAAAGGAAAACAAAACATCATGGCTGAACGCAAAAGTATATTACCCCAGGGAGGTACCGGTCGCTCCGCGGCCGGAGAATCCTCCCCCACCGCACCGGATTCGCCGGGGGTGGGCCGTCCCACGTACTCTGGGGGGGACACGGGCAGCGATGAGGAGAGGTATCAGAGGGAGCTGATGCGGAAGTATGGGGCCGTCGACTACCTGGAGGCCCTTGAACGACATGTGGCGGACATGGACTCGGAGTGTACAGGGTCCTCCATGTCGTTCCGATCCGACGATAACATTGGGGAGGCTAGAGGGAGTACCTCGCCCCCCAAAAAACATCGAAAGAGGCGGATCGCGGAGAGAGGTCAGGAGGAGCTCGACTCCGATGACGATGAAGCCGACCACGTGCAGCTGTCATCTGCTGCACGGAGGAGCAGGGCCAGGGGCCCTCCAACGGCCAAGAGGGGAGCGCGAACGGCCAAGACTGAGGCGCGATCGGAGACAGGGGTTTCGGCCTCTGGACCCGAATCGTCCAGGTCCGTTTCGCGCGTCCGAAAAGACTCGGAGGAGAACGCAACATTAGGCGCCGACGAGCTAGGCGCCAAGGTAGAAGATAGTGCCCTTCAGGTCCTTGCTGCAGTGAGGAAGTCCAGCAACCTGAAGGGCACCATCGTTGGTGAGATCAACCGCGCCATCCACACCATCCGATCGGCGTCGAGTGCCCTGAGGCAAAGGTCGTCGAACCCGGAGGAGGAAGCCCTCAGGCGGGAGGTGCGGAAACTCCGCGAGGAGTTGGACGAGGTCAGGGAGATGAAGGCTGCGATGCTGAAGGAGTCTGTCGAGGAGAGGAAGAAGTTCCGACAGCTCCAGATGGCGTCGCAGTCTTCCGCCGCGTTGGCCGAAGAGCTGGCCGCGTTGAAGGCGGAAAGAGAAGGGTGGGAGAGGCAGACACGCGATAGCGTTCGACAGCTGAAGGAGCTGAAGGAGTCGAATGCTCTCGACCGTGCTGCCCTTCACAAAGCGCTGCGGCAACTGGAGGAGGCCAAAACCGCCGCTGAATTGCCTCCCGTGGTGATCACCGGGACAATGGCGGAAGCGCCGGAAGGTGCCACGCCCCGGACCCTATCGGAGGCCGCCGAAGACCGGATTATCCGGCGAGTAGGCGAGATCATGAACAGCCGCTTCGCCGAGATGGAGGAGCGGATCTCGGCGAAGCGAACGCGGCCACAAAAGGCCGCCAAGAGTACGCCTGCTGCCGGATCTTCCGGTGCAGCGACCGATAGGGTCCCGCAAGTCGGGGAGCCCAGCGAGGGAGGAGTCCCGCAACCGTCGACCTCAGCAAACAAGGAGGGATGGTCGACGGTTGTACGGCGTGGAAAGCGCAAAGGCGCT